CTTTCCCTCACTCTTCTCGGCTTTTAGGGATCACAAGGTCGAGGTATGCCAAGTTTATACTTGGAAAATAAATTTATTATCGTCCCGTACTGATAAGTACCAGCATTGATTAATTAATTTTTATAAAAATATCACTAAAAACGTGCTGCAAATAATCTTTTGAGTTCTGGAGTTTGAAATTGATTAGACGAACGTACATTTTGTAGTAAGAGTATATACTCTATTACAGTGATACATCGAGCTCAATATTGAAAACTTATGTACGTTATTAACAATTTACGAGTATATTGCTTGATTTTCAATAGAAGATGGCATTTAATTAATTTCACTTTAACTTAAATGAAGAATTAAATGCATTCGTATTCAGTTATCATCCATCTGGATATTATTACACTTCAAAATAGCAAGATTGCTATTTTTCTTTTATCATTCTTCTCTTCCTTTTTATGTTATATCGTGTTATGCTTGCACGAGTAAGGACGTAATGAATAAAAACTTTGCTCTCTATTTAAAGAAAAGTATATCTTGCGATGCTTAATATTTTTCGAAGTTCCTGCATCGTATCTCAATTCTAATTAGTAAAATACCCAATAATCAATGAAGTCCATACCATTAATTCGAACTAGTGGTGCATTTATATCAATGAAAAGATACTGAACAATAGTTAATGTCACCCGTGGCTTTCACTGATGTATGGTCAAGGGAGTAAAGACCGTCGATTCACGAACCTCATGAGTTCGTCGACATGGCGCTCAAGCGGCGTTTAATGGATGTCATCCACGGTCAAGCAATGAATCACCGCGTCCCAATCCAAATTGGAATCGACAAAGGATCCACGTGTACTTCGCTGCACCGGAGCCAGAGTTCAGCGCCTCTCCCTTTCTGGCGAGAAGTTCCTGGCGTGTAGACAGCAAAAGTAAGACGAACGTATCAGCGAATTTTGGATCAGGCGCTTATTTTCCTTGACTGAGAGAGTGATATATATATATATATATATATATATATATATATATATATGTATATATATAGGGGGGGGGAGAGCCAATGACCTGCTCGCGCTTTCGTTCATTCACTACTGCCTGGGCCCGCGTTCATTCAAGCTAAAAGTGAGAGAAGAAGGGAGAGAGAGAGAGAGAGAGAGAGAGAGAGAAAGTGAGCTCCTTGGTTTTGATTCAAACTTCCTCCCAACGCGTTGCCAATTTCCACCCGCCAGTCCCCATGACATACCCCCCTTCCACTTTTTCTACTTCCTTAATTCCCCCCGACCCTAAATTTTGGCAGTGCGTCGCACCCACACCCGATGAGCTGGCGCTGATGCCCGACAGCCTAAATTCCAGGCTGTCGTTCACGGTTTGTTTTGATTCATACTTTCGTTTTCGTACAAGGCGTTATTAGGTGTTGAAAACATAGTGATACTGTTTTCTTTCTTCTTTCATCCATTTTGAAAATAATTCAAGTTTCATAGATAGATGATATTGTATCGAGAAAATTTACAATGTCTTGTAAAACTTCCACTATCCAAGTATAATATTTAGACAATTTTTTTTATTGAATAAATCGACTAAAAAATGAACTTTACAATTACTTAAAATTGTCATAATTCATTCATTTCTTCCTAATTTTGTGTAATATTATTATTATTAATTTAAATAAAGATAATTGCAATCATATAATGGGATTAATTGTTCAAGAAATTCATTTGGCAAAAGTTGGATAACAGGTAAACTTGCTCATTGTTGTTTAAAATGTAATTGCAAATTTAATTACATTTACGCTAAGTTAAGGACAATATGGTTTTTATAAAGTGAAAGTATAGATATAAAGCAATTATAAATCTATATAAATCAAATATTTGGATCTTAAATACATTACAGTACTTTAGAATTAGTTCATTAGAATAATTGAATATATAAGTTAAAATAAAATTATCAATCCTTTTGAACTTAAAAATATTAGAAATAATAATAATGCAACAAAAAAACACAATACCGTGACTGGTTATAAAGTTGGCGAGGTAAAGATCGAGTTCGCGGACGGAGACATTGATGTGGTATGGGTTGACACAGAGTCCTGGTTGAGCACATTCCGCAGTCTTTTCCAGTCTCTCCCCATCCGTGGACTCCAAGGGAATCGCCTTGAAGAGGATCACCATTACCAGATCCAATCTCCATACCTGCAACAGAAAGAAGCCAATTTTACTTAAAGATTAATGGACGTTTCAATTGAGATTGTTAATAGACAGTAAAATCTACAGAGGAAAATAGAAAGAAGTTTATTTTACAGGATCTTAGCAAGGACTTCTTATTAATTACTGATTAAAAAAATAAAATAATGGATAATAATTGCATAGTAAATTGATTTTCTTTGACCAAGGATTTGTAGAACAAGATTATTATTCGAAACAAACATTAATTTTTATATAAGTTTTGTAAAGAATAACATCTGCAATTAATCGAAACATTTCATAAAAATTAATTCAAATTTAATCATCACTTTTCATATTGTTTTATTGTTTTCAAATTAATTAAAATTAAGTTATTATCAGAATGCAATTTTAAATTATATTTCATTATACATTTAAAGAAAATACCTATGTCTGTACACAAACACACACACACACACACACACACACACACACACACACACACACACATATATAAACCCACGCATGTAGATCATTTTGTTGAATTTATTTATATTGACGTTTACTTGTGATATTTCAATAAGATTTTATATGAGATTTTATATCTCATATACAAAAAAAAGTTTTTGTATATAAGATTATATCTCTTGAATAATTACTTATACTAATCATGGAATTACAAATTTCTTTAAAAAGATGTAATAAAATTTAGGCAACAAACCTTGTCAGCTTGCCGTAAGCAGTCAATACGTCGCATTTTACCCTTCTGGTCAGGATTGCTAAGGACGCACATGGCTGGTCTCTTCCCCGTGATGCTTAGGACGAAATCTTCTCGGTACTCTTGCGTAATATCTTTCCGTAATTTTCCCAGAAGCCGCGATGCCCATTTCTGTTTTACCTCCAGCTTTTCGTTCTACAATATAGAATTTACGCACAACTTAAAAATTACTATTTAAAATATTTTGCTAAAAAGTTGCAATATAAGCCAATATTCTTATTTTATTAAACATTAAATCGTATTCATTCATTTAATTTTAAATCTTTTAACAACAAAATTAAGTTTCCTATCATAAGATTGTAAGAAAGTATAATGAAAGCATAAAGTTGTGATATTCCATTTTTACATGTATTTATCTTATTTCCTGTTGTTTTTTCTTCTCATAAGAGTTAAAATTCTTTGAAAATCTCAAAGAGCAAAGTCTCAAAAGTACTAAAAACTGATCATTTTAATTTACTTCCATCTTATACTATTAATTTTAATGAATAATATTTATATTATCGTCCACATATTAGTCGAGACACACATACATTAAAATAAGTGTAATAATGATATTGTAAAAAACATTAAAAAAATATTAATTTAAAAATAAATGCAATTAGTTTTAATTAAAAGTAAACAATTTAAGTTTACAGAAACTTTTAGAGATTTTCATACATTATTTGCATAAAATTTGTTTTAAATTAAGTACGTTGAATCTAAGATTCATTAGAATAGTTCAATTTTAACTTAAAATAACAAATAATGTATCTAGTAATATTTCCATTGATTTTTATAAAATTTTTAATATAAAAATAGATATCTTTTATTATAATAATTCCTATAATATTAAGATAGCATAAAAATATTATGTGCATTTATATAAAATTACTTGTGATATTTTTAAACTAAATTAGTGCGTATTTCCACTGTAATTCAGTATGCAGACATATTTATTTTACGATTAATATCAAAATTTCGATAATTAGTAAAAGAATTAAAAAAAAATTTTATTTCTAAATTATAAGTCGGATTCATAAAATAAGACATTATATGATCTCTATCGGTCTTTAACACTATGCAAAGACCAGATATATCGAATTATAATATAATTGACGATTAAATTTATGAAATACGATCTAAATTCGTATATATATATATATATATATATATAAAGTAGTCATGAACACACTAATGAATTATATAATTGAAATAATTAATTATATTAAATATTAAGAATTGAATACTCATATACTATATTTTTTACATTACTATTCGAATCTATTATATCACTTTGAAAACTTGTTTTTCTCATTAAATGTATTTTTAATGAAACATGATGTTTATTTATATCCGTCCCATTATTTTGTTCGATATATTAAGTAACGAGGACAAGATTTCTTAAAATAGCTTATAATATTCTATTTTAATATCTAAAAAGTAAATTTGTGAACTATAAGAAAATATATTGCACTTTAAGTTAAAAGAAATTATCATATCTTTCATTACATTACAAATACTGTAATTGTAAATTATTTTTTATCCAGTAATAGACAAATGAATGAAAATGTTAATTTCACTCATTATTTAAATAAATTAATACATTAATAAATTGTATAAAAATAAAATTACAAAATGACGATCGATAAAAAATAAAAAAATTACACAATTAATTTAGCGAGATTTCATTTTTAGAACAAATCACATCATATAAAATATTTGTTAAAATCATAATTATCTATTCTACATGACCTTCAATTATCAGTATTAGAATTCTCAATAATTTGAATACATTTATTGGTATTACTATATATATTATTATTTTCTAATTATGAATTCAACCTGAACAAAATTGTTTGAAGAAAATAGTCTTCGATTGGTGACTTCGTCTAAACAAGGATTCGTCAATGAGAAATTAAATTCGAATCAACTAGTAACTAACCTTACTTTCAAAAATAGTATAATATACATTTGATGGTAATTATGTTTCTAAGCAACATAATAATTTTGCAAAGTAGTGTCCAACCGCGGTATTAACATTTAGAGGCGCGAGCCACTTTCCAAGACTCTCCTTCACGTCTAAAAGTCAGCACAGCAATTCATTTTCACGCGAAATATACGAACCGCTAGGCGTAAAAAGAAAAGAAAGTTGAAGCCTAGAAAGCCAACGCAACGTGTAAAGCAAACAAACAGACGAAAATATGTTACGTGTATTGTGCTGAGCCTTCAACTCTTTTTTCCCTCGATCCTATCGGTACGGATTCCGTATTCCCGAGCCTTCGTTCGCTCCTTGAGATTCCGCGGGCGCGATATCGGAAAAGCTCCGGAAAAGAGTCAGCGAGAGGTCACATATATGCGGCGCACGCGATCGAGGCGCGCACGGAATAACCAAGAGTAATTCGCATCTACAACCGACAAGTCCAAGGAATGTGGGCCCGATCTACATTGAGGCCCTGCGCGTAGCTTTTACATTTTTCACATAGTGCCACAATCGGATTTAAAAATCCATTTTATGCAGTCGAAAGGTATGTTAATATCTTTACGCTGCGTGAAACGTTGATTTTGATTATTTTTTTAGCGACATTGATTTTTTAATTTTACACTATTCAACAATTATATATCTTATACGTTAAACTTATTTTTTATTAAAAATTATACCAATATTCATTATAGCCTGGTTTTCTCCTATATCATGTTACGATATATTCTAATGCAAAGTATTAGATTTGAGAAAAATTATAATAATATTTTTTCTTATATCATTGTTATTATCATTTATATATACATATATAATACAAATAATGTTTGAAAAAATACTAGTATGTAAATGAATATTATAATTATTATTTTGTGCACGAATGCATTTGTCATTAGAAAATTGTGTAAACGCATACTTATTCTACATGAAAATGTATGACTTACATACAAGTAGAAAGGAGGAATAACAGTGGCACAATTATTTGTGCTTTTGAAGCATAAAATTTGGTACATACATTTGGTACATAAAATTTACATTTTATCTTATTATTTTATTAGATCATGATATGCATTATCAATTGTAAAAAATAATTGTTATATTAAAAATACGAGATAACTTTATTCTAATATTGACTTTCTTCTAATATTAATCTAATATTCACTTTATTCTAATAATTGATTATTGAATTATATATAATTCAAAAACAATATTTCAATTAATATTTTTAATAATAACACATTTTTAGATCAATAGTTGATACTAAAAAATAATTAATTTACAAAAATAAAAAAAAAATTATTTATGAAAAGGAAATTGACCTTTTCCTTAGCTTTTTCAAACTTTTAAAATTTTTTTTAACATTCTTAAGTATTTCAGATTTTTATGTGCATAGAATAATGTTATATAAAACACAGTCTACAACTAATAAATAGGATGTTCAAAGATAACATAATTATTAAAAATTATAACTCATAGGCCTTTAGATTAAATATATATGTTCAATTGAATGTCAAACATCTTTCGCATACCTAATTTTTAATTAATAATTACTATTCTTATTGTAGATTATTGAAGGTGTAAACAAGTATAATTAGTATCAATAAAAAATAAATAAGAAACTTGCTTATTTTAAAGAAATTAACAATAAGTTATTAAGTAATTATACATGGCTGCAAATTTAACTGTTCGTTTATGTAAATTCTGAACAACATAAATGTAAGAGAAGAAAATGAGGATAGTTTCACGGATTTAACAGGATAATCATATGAAACAAACTCGATGAAAATCTGTCGTAAAGCTTAAACTTTGCGAATTGCAAATAGACGTGTAGATCCACGAGCTCGTGAGTGTCTTTTAGATGTACACGTACATTTGCTTCATTATGCAACTAGGAGGTAAACCTTCAAATTACGGAGAAACCTTAACGCCAGCGCGAGGAGGCAGTAACAATAACGCGAAAACACGAAAGTTCAGACGTTATACCCGGTTGCCCAGACGTCCCGAAACAACTACAATTTGCTCCTCGCAGATAAATACAAACTTACACGTATACACAGCAAAGGGCACAAGTATTTTTAGCCTCTCACGAGAAGAAAATTATAATAAACAAGACTATTGTATTTTACATGTAATAAATGTAATTACTTACATTAACATGTTCATTACAGTTTGATTATGTTTTTTATGAAAAACAATTAAATGTTATAAATGATTCTACATAAAATTATTAATGCAGTACTGGTAATAATTTATATTATGAATAATGAAATTATTTTTGTTGATTTAATTTTCAATATTTTTAATATTTTCGTTTATATAGATAAAATAATAACTTCAATATTAATTAAAATATTCTAAACCAAATTTCGAATTAACTAATACACTGCAGCAGTATATATTATTAAAATAAAATAATACGATCAATAGATTTTTATAATATATTGTAACCCATTAACACACAACAATATTTACTTACGAAACAAACAAAAAGATGTTTTTGAAAAATGACTGATCATCAGCCAGTAATTTGATACTCCATGTTTTAGTCGAATTTCGCTAGTAAATAAGCCCATAAAAATTATAATCCAGGTTTCGTCGATCATCCAATTAGCAATTTCAATCAGTAGTAAGAATATCTGGGTGCAGAAACGTTAATTTGAAAACCAGACGCAGTGCGTCATAAATTTTAATACAAGAATCGCGTTCATTCAAATATTGAACTGCGTAAGCCTTCTTCGTTCACTGTACCGATGGATTGAATAATCATAGGTATGTTTAAGTGTGCCAAGTGTGAAGAGATTCGTACGCATAGACGTTCGACATTAAGGAATTGAGTAAAGGGGCCACTGTTTCCCTCGTTTGCGCATTGGTCTCCTCTCGATTTATCACTCGACGTCCACGATTACCTCACGTACTTACGAGCGATTGAATTGTGTGACCGTGATTTGCCCAAAGATTTCGAGCGCTCGACTGTTATCGTGAAAATGTCTTTTGGAATCGCTCAATATTGCAGGGGTTTAGAAGTAATTAGTGGATTAGTGATTAAAGGGTTAGGGAGTAGTAATTTTGATATTTAGAATGATCAAAGATTAAAAATGGACGATCAAGAAAGTCATAATTTGATATAATAATGATTATATATGGTTTAAAAAAATGACATAAAGATATTGAAAATAGG